CAGACATTAATGAAACTGAAATAAGTAAGATGTTGACTTTACAAACACGTAAATGGTGGGGCTGAGGTACCCTCCATCTGTGAAATAGAACCTCGCTTAAAATTTCTGGATCCGCCACTGATATCATATCATTTATTTCGTCGTTAAAACACAATGACAAAAAGTAATTAAAAAACGACCACATCTAAAAACCAAGACCGACCGAGAAAAAATGGTCCGGGTCTCAAAGGCACAGGGTCCTCAGCCCCAGCGTTATGGCACTGCCCCAATCTCCCTATTTTTTTCCCAAAATTATAAAAAGAAAAGAAAATGGAGAAAAAGGCCCCCCCCCCCAATCCTTCAAGAGATCCTGGCGCCATCACAGATTACAGGCTTGCATACAGACATTAGTATGAATACTTCAGGATTTGGTGCTAGATTCCACAAGGGGATCATTTGGGATAAGTGTTACTAGTGCAGGGCAGTTTGAAAAGTTCAACTGTCAGTGGCATATTCAAGGAGAGCCCAATCAGACTGCCCCCCCCCCCCCCCACCACGCCGCTAAATTTTCAAAATTAAGAAAAAAAAACTATATACTCCAATTTAAGCCTCTTGAGTACCATTTCCAGCCATCTAGAGGTTCCATCAATTTTCGTGCCACAGCTGGTCCCCAAGGTGTCTGTCCAGACTGTCAATTTGTGTAAGTCTCTCCATTGGCTCCCTCTATTTCGAATTCCTGGATCCGCCACTGATCAATATTTATTACTAAGCAATATCCCATGTGGGAGCTTTTGTTCTCCCTTCGAATCCTTTTTCCATTGCAGCAATATAGTAAACATTTATGTTTGGAAAGATATCAAAAATATATTAGGCCTAAAAAAATTAATTGTTTGTTTTTCCCCTACAATTTACAGTATTCACTTCTTTTTGATCTGAATAGTTTCCCCTCATTTTGACATTTATTTATTTATTTTTTTTTTGTACTCTAACTTCCAACTGATGTGGGTATTTTGATATGTAATGAGGGGGTCAGTGGTGTCTGAACTAGGCTGCCTCGGTCAGGGTCCAGTAACCCGGTAATATAATAGAATCCACAAGTTTATGAACGAAATTTGGGCCGATCGAGACAACAATGTCCCAGGGGGTCCGGGGGCATGCTCCCGCGAAATTTTTGTTCTAGACGCCCGAAAATAACATTTGAGGCGTTGTGGGCTATCATTTTTTTCTTTTTCTTTCTTTTTTCTTTTTTTCCCGGCCGGGCCGCCCCCCCCCCCCTCTATCCGCCCCTGGTATTACCCTTCATCCGGTAGAATGTCCAGAATATACAGTCAAGTAATACATCAATATACCGTGTAGTGTCTCATAGCATTTGATTGTAGAGAATTTTGACCAGGGTCAGTGACACACTGCGGGTTGTATCCTTCGCCGACGATACCACATTATTTGATTCAAATCCAAACTTGGGACACCCTATACTGTAGGCCTAAATAACGAATTGCCCAAATTTGATAAGTGGTTCATTTCAAATATGCCCTGTATAAACGCACTCAAAACATACTATATTGTTTTCCATACTCCACAAAAAAGGCTTAATTTAAATTTAAATAACCACAATATTTCATTCCATGGTAGTTTATTATTTTTTTTCCCTTTCTCATTAAAATTGTTTTCATGTCATTGTTAAATAAAAAGGTTGAAAGTTGAGAATAGGGCATAGCAAAACGGACAGGGATGTTCAATTTTATGTTGAAATACCACCTTGTGGTGATATACTGTATTACTTGAGCAGTAATGGTATATAGTGCACAGGAAAGTTTATGAAGCTTATCAAGTCATCAGCAGATATTTAAATTTAGAGAAAATTGTTTTGTAAGTTTTGGTTCAATTTTCTCACATGAACCCTCTCATTTATTCATGTTAATTGCAAGACTTTAACACATTTTCTATTTTTGAGACCCAGATATGAGCTGAGAGCCCTAAACAAATTTGTCCATGACTGACCATAACTTATAATTGTTAATTGTAGATGTCATGGCACTGACAATGTTTGTAAATATTTTACTATAAAACTTTATGAACTAACTTTTAAATTTGTGTATTGTACTGGCTTCTTCCCAGATGTAGGGCTTAACACCCTCCTGAATGACATAACATTATAAACATCACATAAGTTACTGTATACAACTTACACCAAGGAAGACCAAAACAAAAATACATTAAAAAAAAAAAAAAACCTTTCCAGATTGTGTTACTGTATTTAGGTTTAGGAATACAGACAGTAGTAATAATAAATAATAATAATTCTGGATTTATATAGCGCCTTATGTTGACACAACCTCGAGGCGCTTAACAACAACAGAGAAAGGGGAAAAAAATATTATCCAAAGATTATTATCAAACATTTGGGTTTTAGTTTAGTTCAATTAAGTTGAAATGATTGGTTTGATGATTATCAATAAATGTTATTATTACAATGCTTTGGTAATAGGAATCATTTCAAGGCCTGTTACTTTCCTATTCATCCCAAATCCTTTCATTTTTCTTCCCCTTTTGCTTCTTGTCTTTCTTCCTTTTCCTTTCAAATGTTCCTGTAGTAGCCCATCCTGTAGTAACCCATCATTCAGTTAATACAAACAAGGTGGGGTTAGTAAAAATTCCAACAGACACTAGACTGTTTAAATCATTTTATAGGGTTGTGCATTCTACCTACAGTACATTAAAAGCAACAATGGCCTTGACTATGGAGGTTTGACACCATTTAACAAATCACCATAAATTAATACAGATAGACAATATTTGTGTGAATATCCATTTTTATTAAGATAAATAAAATACCTGTAGTGTGTAATCGTATACCCTAACTTAACTAGACCTTTAACATGTGTATGATCCTCAGTATCCTTGTCACATGAACATGCCAAGAGGTTCAATATTGTGAATAGAAAGGGCAATAAACACAACTTGATATACGTACATGATAAAATAGTACAACCCCTCATTTGGGACACTCCTATTCAGGGGACAGTTTTCCATGAAACAAGGGGAAATATTATCACTTTATATTTATCACTTTCTGAGTGTGCCAAAAGGTCAATCAATACATATTTAACACCCCTATAAAGGGGACATTTAATTTTTTTCATTGTAACACAACAATTACAGCAGTCTCAAAATAAGAGAACTTAATTCAACTTTATATTTTGACACCTTTTGAGCAATAAACTTAAATTTAAACCAAAATTCACTCATTCACAAATTTGACACATAACCATTGGCATTTTTTTTCATGTACTACAGGACCATACCATCACATGCATCCTCATTTGTTAAGTCTTTATTCATGCTACATGCATCCAATAGAAAGCTCAATATAAAAAAAAAGGGAAGAAAGATTTGGTCATTAACATTGCATTATGAAATAATATTGGGAACATACAGAGTATTGATGTTATATAAATTACATTTCTGTGATTTCCTATTTATAAGTGAATCTTATTTGCAATGCAAACTGTTGCTATAAATTAGTTATAATTCCTATGTCAATAAAAATAAAATTGTCAAAACTCATTTGACAACCATTTTTTTTATATTTTAACTTGCTGTATTATAACATAAATATACAGTATTTAGTTGAATTAGAAAATGACCAGTATAATTTCTCTTACAACAAATAAAGGTTCCCATAAAAAAGGTATATCTGTATTTTTTAATTTTATTACCAAATAAACAAACTAATAATGAAGATGCTCTGCATCTATTCCCTAAAATAAATAATTATTGCTAAATAAAAGACATAAATCATTCTAAAAAACACCTGGACTACTCGACTTACATTTAATTATTGATTTTTGCATCATTTCAATAGATGAAATATAAAAAAAAAAAAGTTTTATTATTAAATTTCATTATTGGGGGCTATTTTTACCTACCTGTCATTCTCTCTCCCCCCCCCCCAATTTTAAGACATTATATCTTGTCAATTCTAAGACATTTTAATTTTGTACAAATAACCCCCGTTAGAAACATTCTCGATCCACCCTTGATCACACAGCACAACAATTCTTCACAAGGACTACAGTATGCAGCAATGACACTCAAAACATTAACTACAAAGACGTCCTTCAGAAAAATAATGATATACGTGTATTTTAATCACAAATTTCAGTTCGAGGTGTGACTGTCAGTGAGTTCTTTTTGCGATTGGTTCCTATTAAAGTTGTTTTCTGAGGCAAATTCATTCACATGAATCGACAATTAATTTTTTTAAAAGCATATGTGGTAAGGAATTTCGTAGTTGAAAATTAAACTGAGCATGTGTATAAGCGCAAAAAATCGCAATTCACATGAACAAATTCGTCGTCTATTGTAAGACAGCCATTACGCCCAAAAATAAAAATGAACCAAGGTAACCTCAGTTTAATACGCGGACCAGTGAGCGGTCGCTCTTGTTACCTACACTCCATGATGAATATTTGTTCAGTTTAAATCTGGTATCAAAGGTGATGTGTCTAAATCGCTGGGGTCTTCATTAATGCTGTAATGTGTGTGAGGTGGGCTATCTGGAACTTCCTTCTCTTCTTGAATAACTTTGTCCTTATTTGAAATTAAATTAGATACAAGGCTGGGTGATGCTGCATCGTGGTATTTAGATGAATGTCCTAATGATGATGAGCGTTGCCTTCTTGAGATCTGCCAAAAGCCAAAACATAAATTATTAAAGTGAGGTTATAATTAAGGTTTGTTTTCATTGTTAGCCAGAGGTTGAAGTTATGTACATTACAAGGCAGATACAGTATGCCATTATGGAATATAAGAAAAATATCTCATCCTGTAACCACATTTATTACATTGGCCCAAGGCCACCTTAAATACGGCCGACTTAAAACAACTGTTCTGTTCGCATTGTAGTACGTTCATACTTCCTTTATTGCGCTAGGTTTTTTTGGTGAAATATTTCGGATTATGTTCCCATATGAAGGCGAGTCGACCCAGGTCTCACATTGCACAACCCGAGCCGAATTTAAAGACTAACTTTAAATAACTAACTATGCTTTAGGCCGGCTAAAATTAATTGATACTACTGAATTTGATAATACTGAATTTCCTTGATGTTTATCAATTAAATGAAGTGAACTTAAATAAATACTACTGTTCAATAACTGTGGCTTGTTGTTGAAGTAGTGAATTCTATCTCCCTCTGTGTCCAATGATGAGAAAGGTAGTTCCTAAACAATACCAGTTGCATTTGTTTTGTAAATATTATCTTACCAGTTTTGAGGATTGCAAAAGCGCTTCGTTAGGGATCTGTACAGAGTTTGCTCTTGATAGTTTAGCCCTTGCTACTTTAACTCGTTTATGAACATCAACGTAAATGTCAGTCTCGTCAACAATTTCTTCTTGTAGTAATTCTTCCAAGATATCTTCAAGAGTTATAATACCTATGGCATTCTGAAAGAAGGAAAACTGCTTTGCTCAAATTGCATAAAATGCAAGCCTACACATACTAAATTACTACCATCCAGTGGCACAAATTTCCATTTTGATCCGATGTGAATACAGCTATTTTTAAAGATTTAAAATGCTTTGTATCTATGTATTTGGGTTTTTGCTTTTGAATTCTGCAAATTTTCTTATAGAAGAAGGTTCAGAGCTAGGAAGATCTAGAGAAATAAGAATGTGATATGCTGTTGCACCTTAAGCACACCCATTGGAGAGACCAAAACATTTTTTTTAAATAACTTCTAAAGGTGTAATGAGAATAGCCAATCACACAGCAAGGGTGTGTCTTCAAACAGTCACCAAATTATTCAGTATGCATTGATTTCACAACAACCAAGTGTTATTGTAAGTATAGTCATGGAGGTATTATACCACCATGGTTAAGGTATTTTATTTTTCTACAAAAGCAACAATTGATATTTTCTGTGAAAATATTCGTCACGACAGTGACATGTTATCGATTTGGTATTAGGTGACATTTTTGGGCAGACCTTTGCTGTCCAATCAATCTGCCCAAAGTGACAACACACATGAAAACGTTTGTCAAAAAAACAACCTGTTGGATAATATATTATGGTATGTAAATACATTTTTTTTAAATTATTTCAATTGTTACTGACAAATTAAGATGTACTCATAACAGCAGGAACAGCCTATTAGTAATTACAATAGCAACTATTTGTCTATAGATTATAATTTAGTCACCTGAAAAAATTTACAGCATGAACAGAAGCTTTTATACTCTGTTCATCAAATTTTATTTAGTTAGTCTGTCTTTTTACTTACTGCATTATACGGGATTCTTAAACCTTAATCTTCGCCCGTATTCTTAAAACAAACTTTAGTCGAACTTCGAACTAGAACTTCATTTAGTGTTAGTTGCATCTTTAACTTCAATTTGTATTCACAAACAATGTAGTCGAAGTTTTAACTACGACTAAATCAAGTCCTAGTTTTAGTTCAACTGAAGACGACTGGCAAGCCACGACTATCAAACTAACCAATGAAAAGGGCTAACTTTTATAGCAGACGAAATTTTACAGATCCGGTACCGCGGATGAATATTAAGCTGCCGTCTGTGGTTCAAAAACGTATTTCCTCATAATTCATAATAGACCATCATTCTCTTAATTAATTTTCTATAATAATAACTATATTAGTTGTTAACATATTACAATAGAGAATTTGAACAGACACTGAAAATTTGCTTTCTTTGGAGAACTATTATAGTTGAGCCCGAGCGAGGGCGGCGCCATCTTTGTTGTTGTTATTGTGAAGCTACGTGATCGCAACGCGAGGGGATTTCGTGCAAATCAGGAACTATCACATGTGGCCAGCAAAACATGTTAATTTCTCCTTCTGGAAGCTAAACTTGATGTTTCTTTTGTTTAACACACCGAAGATATATCAAACCTGCGTATACAATCGTTTTTATTCCTTTCACTTTATCGTGAGTTACAAAAAACACGTTTTTAGTGGGGTAAATATTTCAAGTCGGCGATTTAGCCTGACCCTAGGCTGACTAAAATAATCGGCCTGCGGGGGTGTCATTTTAGTCGAGGTTCACGTCATTTAGTCGCAGTGCTAGTCAAAGTTCGTTTTAAGAACACGAAATGACGTAATTTTTAAGTTTTAGCTCGAACTACGTCTAAAGTTCGTTTTAAGAATACCGGGGTAGTCACAATGTTAGGCCATTGATCTAATAATCATTAATACTGTATGTAACTTGCCTTCCCGCAAATAATTTATCTTTATAATTTTTTAAGTTGAGAGTTTGACTTTCAACTTTCAATTGGAAATCTGACTAGGAGGCAAACCATTAAATGTCTGCAAACCATTAAAAACTGAATTTTAGTAATTGTACTTGATCACTTTCTTCTGATTTTTCTTTTTCTGTAAACTTTTCAAAATGTTCTTAGTGCTATACATTGTTTCAAGTGGGGTTTTTCTGGTGTTGAATTGGGTGACACCCCAGGAGACTGTCCTGGTACTGCATTATACCAATAAAGTAGTGAAAGGAGGAAGTCTCAATCATCCAACAATGAGGGAAGTAGAATTCCCCGTATTATTACTAAAAAAAAAAAACCATAACTATACCTCATAAAAATCAAACGGAAAACCGTCCGTCTACATTAGCCTTTGCAAAATGTGAGGGTAAAAATTTTGAATACATTTCACATAGGATCAGTAGTCCATTTTATGTAGTCCTTTGTTCCCCATGTAAGCTTACATTTGGCATATGCAAAAAAGTAGTTCAAACTGCAGAGAACAGGGGTGAATTTAAGGGGGGGGGGGGCCCCAATTCCCTTTTTGGAAAGAGAAAAAAAAAGATCGCCAAAAACGCCTCGGAGGTTATTTTTGGGCGTCTATTAAACAAAAATGTTGCGGACCCCCTAGGGAAGTGATATCTCGATCAGCCCCTCTTACGAAGTTCAAAATTATTAAAAAAAACCCTACATGCTTAAATATATTTTCAAAAGAATAAAGTGCATCATACCATGGCACAAAACATGGCACTTTTCTACTTGACTATAAAGAGACATTGAAAAATATAATTACAAAAGGTACAATGCTCTACAATTGTAATCATCCATTAAACCATATAAACAAACACTGCACCCTGACAATATTGAAAAAAAATCTTTTTTTTAATTTTTAGCGCATTGTACTCTGACTACAAGAGTAGTTGACTTTAATGACAAACTAGTTTTTGCGTATATACAGCAATTGGGTCCAAATGAATTCTTGTGGTGTTTCTATATTGGTTAGAGCACTGCACCCATATACAGTACAAGTCAAAAGACCTGAAGCCTTCTGTATACCTGCCTTACTGCTCGGCCACTTCAAGGCTAACACAGACCTCAACACATACATTGTAAAAGGTAGGCATGGCATCAAAATGCGATTTTTTGTAGAGATATCTTCTACACAATGCCTACTTAACCAACTTCCTTTCTGTTTGACAACTATGACACTTTGAACATATTATTAATCCGTGACACGGCATCTTTCTAATCACTGTTGTATAATACCTTACAAAAATCGTTAAAAGAGCAAAAATCTATGAAAACTGGTTCCATTGTTTAGTGTTTGGTTATTCTTTCCATTCCCATTATAAAAGACCGGAAAACCAACAAGAATCTTTCATTTAGACTTATTTTCACAGCATTTTTCAAATTCTTTCACCCAGTTGGATGATCAGTATCAATAAATTTTGACAATTTATATTATATGGACTGCGTCACATTCAGGGTCACAAATTTTGAAATATGTTTCCTTCACTTTGATTGAACATGAAATATTATTACTACTGGATTCATTCCCAAATCTGTTCAAAACCTGTCATAGCAAACTTACTAGAATATACCAAGATGTGGAATATTTTATTTATCATAAAAATTTGAAAGAAGAATAATCAGATATACAGTAGTGCATGATTGTGACCAACCACTTGAAGTAAAAATAAGGTATCCAAGAAAAGTGAATGTACAATGAAAACAAAAACACTGTAATTTAATGAAGCTTAAATTATGTATTCTCTAAATCAAGCAAGTTTTAAAAACTTGAAATATGTCCCAAATATTTTCCAAACACGTTCCGAACCACACATGTCCACCAGCATATCACATGAACATAGGGGCCTGCATCAAAAATGTTCACAATGTTACAGACATTTATCAACTTGTCCCCGACATTTTCAATAATGTTCGAACAGCCAACAAACTGAAACATGCTAGTTTTATGATATACCTGTAGGCTGTACATTATTTTCGGTATCTACAAAAGGTATAGTGTTGTAAATATTAATTTTGAATTTGGTTAATTGTGAGCGAAGTAAAATATGTGGAAGATTAATAGAAACTTGTAAACCGTAGTTCATTAATGGATGAAATCTTTTTTAAATTTCAGACAAATAGTCATACATAAACAAAAAGATGCTGATAATTGATAAACTGATAAATGCTGGCTAAAATGCAGGCATTTACCTACGCCTACTACAATTAAACCAACGCCACAAAGATAAAACAGTACTGTACTCGCGCGAATAAGCGCCCAGACGCTTAAAATATTTTTTGCACTTTCTGACGGACGTTTATTCATACAGGGCGCTTATTTAAACGGGGTGCTTATGAAAACAGAGTGGAAATTGAGGGGGCGCTTATGGAAATAGATGAAAATCGAAGGGTTCTTTATGGGAAATTATTAAATTCAAGAGGCACTTTTTGAATGAATATAAATAATATGGTGAGCCGCACTAGTCTTAACAGTAATCAGACAATAAGAAAACGGTAGCACTTTATAGACTAGTTGAAATATGTATTGTCACAAGCTTTCGCGTACACAGTACACTTCTTCACCTGTCCAAAAGAAATATCCTCATTTTGATATTGACCTATAAAGAAGAATGTGTTTCCACTCTGCAGCTCAATTGTGCCAACAACCAGAGTCCCAGGATTGGATTATTGACTTTCTAAAAAGAAAATCTTATGATATTATTCAAATTAGAAATGGCGCTTATTCGAACGGGGCGCTTATTCGCACGATTACGGTTACAGTTTAACAGTTAGGCCTATGTTTTCGTTGTGGTCTTAAGAAATGTGGTAGCTAAATAGTGTTTATATACAGTGGCAGTGCTGGGATTGTTGCCGTGTCCAGAATAAAAGCTGAGGGCGCACTGTTGAGTGAGTTCAGAATAGGAACTAAGGATGTAACTTCTCGTGTCCAGAATAGGGGCGACTCATTTTCAATTCAAGTGAAAACTTGCGCTTGATGATTATACGCGTTGCATCAATTAAACTACTGTACCTCAGAAAATTCATAGAACCGTTACACAGTGGGCTTATTTGACTGGTTCATTTCGTTAACTGCAAATTTTCGTTGAGTATTATTTTTATTCATCTGGTTCATAAAATAGACTTTGTTGACAACGAAAATTAACGTAACAAGAGTGCGTAAATCAGCGTTAAGTTACCAAAACAAACATGGCCGATTGGTCAGTTTAGAAACAACATTTGTGTTAAAATAATTATAGGTTAAATTTCAGAAAAAAAATTTATAATATTTACCCACATGAAGTCAAAAAATAATTGTAGGCTAACGGAATTCAAAAACTAGAGAAAACATTTTTTTACAAGAAATCTTGATTACGCAGCAGTTTTCTATTCGACTGCTCGTCTTCGTTAAGTAAGATTTTACCCCTACGCAGGTGGCCGTGGTTTAACGAAGAATGAAGGAATTAACGATGGAATTCCAGACGTGACCTAAGGTAAGTCTGACAAGATTTTATATAACGTAACTAATAGATGTATCCGAGGCCTTTCTGTTCGAGTCGTGATGTTATCGCGAGCCTCATCATTAATAGGATGCGTATCTCTACCCTATTATACAATAATTAATAAGCTAATTCTAGCAGGTCATAAGTACAGTACAGACTGGTACTTAATATTTAGTTTATGTTTGTTATTGAATTGTAGTTATTTTGTTACAGAATTGGTTTCCTTTCATAAATTATTTTACTGGGTCCTTACAGCAAGTAAAACAAACTTTAGTATTTTAAAAATGATCTGTGACAAATGTTATTCTTAGTATAATTTCTATTAAAAAAAAGGTTGAATTACGTTCTGTGGCCTACAAAGGTTATATAATGGTGTTTTTTGATAATTTTTAGATATTTTTTCTTGTCTTTTTTTTAAGGAATTTGTACTGTATTTCTTAAATGAAATTGTATTGTATACGAATGCCTTAATTCAGCCTATTAGCTGCCACAGAGCTCGTACCTGATGTGTTGTGTGTTTCGAAATAGAGATACCTGGAATCATTGGTCATTGGTCCACATGTGTTCAAATAATAAAACAAAAATAATGATGCAAAAATGCTGAGTTAGGCCTAGACAGTAGAACATAAAATATTTTATTCAGGAAACAAATATTTCGTCTTGTCCTCAAAATGCTGATGAAGTCTTGAAGTCATTTTTGCATCATATGTCAGATTGCATTGTGGCATTAATATATAACTGTCCATGTAGCTTCCATATTTTCGGCACAACAAAAATAAATATAACCCAGACAGTGTATTAGGCTATCCTTTCTGCCTCCAGTTAGGGCACCGCCAGCATTTCAGCCAGGTCCAATGTAAATTATTGAAAGGGGTCTATAGGCTCCGTCTTCTTATTACCATCTTGCATTCTGCCAAGTTTGAAACCAATCAGACTTACCAAACTATAGTTATCGTGATAACAAACAAATAACCAACAGTGACAAGGACGACAACAATATGAAGAAGAACATAGGCAAAAACAATAGCCTTCCCAGAGCTTCATTCCTTTGGGGAGGCTAATAACTTGGTATTTTATGTAATGCTATGAAATCGTAGCAACTTCTGCAGTACATGATCAGATTTAGATCACATTTATTTAAATGTTAGCATGCAATAAAAATGATGACAAATTTAACATAACTTACCACTTCAAGATCTCGGTGATCCTTTGAGCCATTTTGATGACTTCCATCAGTGGATAAATGTGCTGACATTTTATTGGTCACTAAATTCATGTGGCTTCGGCCATCCTGCATGGCATTTAATACATCATACAAAGGCATGCTAGCTGAAATCATCTCAATAGAACGTCCAAGTTTAAGGAAGACTTCTCTGACCATTGAACGTTCTTGTAAATCAATTCTAAGTAAATTCTTTGTTAGAATAATTCCAATAATGTTTTTGGTACCCTTTACTTCCTCATACACGGGGATTCTGAGCCTAGCACCTGATGATTGAGGAAGTACCTCATGAAACAGCCTGTAGTGCAATAAAATGTTGAATTTGTAACCAAGCGTCATCTTCTTTTGATTTTATATATATATATATATATATATATATTTATATATATCAAGATAGCCATTAATACTGTTAAATTATATATAAATCATCAAAGAATGGTACCTTTTTTGATGAATGAATGTTGTCCTACAAATAAAGAAATTGTGTAATAAAATTCCTCTGACGGGATTCGAACCTGCAACCTCTCCTGTAAAGGCGAGCGTCATAACCATTAGATCATAGAGGCTTAATGGTTGAGCAGATTCAAATAACGTCAGATACATTCAATTACACAATAGGTACGGCTGTTAACACTGTTAAATTATATATAAATCATCAAAGCAAGGTAAATAGCAAGCAAAGGTGTTGGAACAAAGGACATGATAATACATCGTGTAGCATAGCTCTCAACGAATGTTGTCCTATAAATCATTCACACAATATCAATTTTGTTCCATAATAACAATAATAAAAGTTCACCGTCAGTGGACCTTTCCGACCCACAAAACTTTAAACACTGTGTTTGATTGGAAGTTCATCATTATGAACACCTACCGCACTTGAGTCGGCGTCGCTGCACAGGCCAAAGGTGGAAACTATTGGAGCCCAGCATACTACCTTATGTGGAGTATCTGTGCACACATGGTTAAATCTATGAGAGAGTGACGCTCAATCAAGTTAACTGTTTTCTGGCTCTTTAACTGTTTTCAGGTTTTATGAATTTCTTGTTTTCTGTAATATTTTGACTTCTTGTGGAGGGCGCCATGAATGTTTTCTCCAACAAATACCGGCCCTTCATAAATTTTCAACATCATTATTAATATATGAAATGAGAGTTAAAGTACAATAGAATGCAGAAGAAATTTGTTTTTAATAAAATAGTCTTACTTCATCAATTTTTTGCCTGTCTAAGACATCAGTTGTGGCCAACATGTAAACACTGTTTAGCGGAGTGAATGCGTCTTTAGCACATTTGTCTCTCATGGTGAGGGCGCCCTTTATAATGAGTACTTCATCTTGAGATAGTGGGTTTTCATTATCTGCAGATGTTTCACCATGCAAATCAACTAAAGCGCCAAGCTCTACGAAAAAAAAACAAATACAGTAATAAAGTTTAAGATTTGAAGGTAATTAAGGAATATTTTGTCTTACCAAGTGACAGAAATACCATTTACATATAAATGGAAATAACAATTTAAATTAACAGAAATTATTACAGTGTATTATTCTTATTATTAAAATTGCAGCTTTCAGCAAATAAAAAGGAAATTCACCATTTAAATTTGATTATTTTATTTTTATCTTAAGAAATTAAGTGCTTTTCTTTTTTATTTTTATTGCAAAACATTATTTTAGCTTTCTAATGTAAATAATTGTTTACACTTTCAGATAAAGCCAAACAATATTGACATCACTTCAATATATTTCAAAACAGGTTTGTTTGTATTGTTTGTATTCATTCCTTACGCACAAATCATACTCAGGAACACACATCAATTGAAATATAACTTATATACATTAATATAAATATACAACATGTTCAACAGCACAGATTGTCATCACTTGAATAAAAGTATAATTTCAAAATAATAGTAATGTAATAAATAGCTTTTTACATATGAGGCATGTTTTGGTCATTCACTGAAATTGGATTTCAAGTCTAAGATATTGGAAAATGAAAGTACAACACTCTTGAGTCAAGATAAACTTATTTACCTTCCAAAGTTATTTGTGCGAATGAAAGTATTCGAGTCAACTCGGCCCCAAGTCAACTCGGCCCTATGTCAACTCGGCCCCATATCAACTCGGCCCCAAGTCAACTCTGTCCCAAGTCAACTCGGCCCCAAGTCAACTCGGCCCCAATTTACTTTGTATTTACCAAAAGAGATTTGAATGCAAAGCCAAAATTAAAGTGTTTTTTAAAACACTTTAATTTTGGCTTTGCATTCAAATCTCTTTTGGTAAATACACAAAACAAACACGGTAAATACACGATTTAAAAATCGTTGCCTTTGTTATTAGCTTTTTCATTTATATCTACTTACATTAATAAAAATAATATTACAGTAAAATAATATTAATGAAAATATAAAAAGGTATAATATAACTAATAATGATGATATGACAATAATGACATAATCATGACAATGCTTAATGAGTTATAGACATATTATCTCGTTCATGCTTTTGTAACATCAAGGCTGGATTGTTGTAACTCATTGCTTTATGGATTGCCAGCTAAGGATATTTCAAAACTTCAGCGAGTTCAGAATGCAGCTGCCCGTTTGGTCACTGTAAGCCCAATTAGGGATCATATCACTCCTGTGTTAAGGCACCTTCATTGGCTTCCTGTAACACAGAGAATTACTTACAAGATTTTATTATTTGTTTTCAAAGCACTTCATAATTCGTCGCCAATGTTTATTTCACAACTCATTCATCCTTACATTCCTAAGAGGTCTCTGAGATCTAGTTCAGAGTCTCTACTTGCTCATTCCACTCGCCCGTCGACAAAGCATTATGGTAGTCGTTCTTTCTC